CCCCATTCTGGTTTTTTTTTTTTTTTTTTTTTTGAAGGCACGGGGGTGTAGAAGGCCCCCACACCAACCCTACACCTCTGCACCAACCCCCTCTCGCCCCGATCCCGACCGTCACGATCTCTACGTGGGTGGAAACCCCGTGAACGGCCGTTCACAGAATTCGGGCCCCGTGACCGACAGGTCACGTTCATGGGACCAGCACTAGCGTGTGGTAAAACGGTTCTCGCTCAGGTTATGATCACTGATCAACAGATGTCATTTGCAGGACCTGATCCTCGCTTGAGGGATGCAATAACTTCCGATAAGTGAAATTTGAGGTGAGACAATTGTGATGGGCAGTCTCCCCTTGGCCACTAACTGATTGTGTTCATTACCTGAGCAGGAGGCTCCCTGCAATGAGAGCTCAGTAGTTCAGTCGGACCATTCCTAGAATCCTTGTTGAGGTATTAAAGAGCTGGCTGAGGTTTAAATAACAGCGGCCTCGCTCCACCACGAATCACTCTCCATGCATTTGGACCCTTTAAGCACTCTCCATGCATGGATAGGTTTGAAATGTTGGAGTCGTCCGAATTCACCTGGTCAAGTGAGCGTCCAAATGCATGTAGACCTTGTAGAGTGTTCTGTAGTCTAGCGTGGCCCTATCTTTTAGACTTTTAGTTCAGTGGAGTAAAGATGCAAGAGCATTATGTGACCTGGTAGGCTGGTACAATTTGTGCAGTTAAGAATCGAAGACCTGTGAATGTGTATTTCCTACTGTCGTTTGGAGGTTCGGGGTTACCGGAGCAGTGGGKACCACAATGGCTGGCGTTGCCAGCCAAGAAGACAGAAAATGGGCCCGGGTGGGTTTTTTTTTTTTTTTTTTTTTTTTTTCTGGTGTGCAGTGCTTGTGAGGCTCATTGAAAACAGACAATTGAATAGTTAACGAATTCCGTTCTTTATAATTTTTTTCGCTTATTGGTTATATATGATTTTATTAATTATGATTTCATTTGCCATTAAATAGTATTGGGGGAGGGAGGAGTGATTGGGGCACTCATTAGCCGAGCTGTTGGGCAGTATAGCATTAGACAGTATAGCAATAAATTACAGTCATAGTCTGGTTAACGTAGTTCAGAAATTTCAGGTGCTACTAGTTATTTGGCTGGTTGATTTTTGTTGGCAGTATAGCATTAGACAGTATAGCAATAAATTACAGTCATTATGAGTCATAGTCAGGATAACGTAGTTCAGAACTCTTCGACAGTATAGCATTAGACAGTATAGCAATAAATTACTAGTCATAGAATGACAGGCAGGGCCGCACTAGCTCCCCGCTCCCCCATTATCTCAATGAATCCCTCGCCTTCGCCTCTTTCCGGGGCGCAGGCTCACCCCTTCGAGGTTCCCTTGTGGAGGAGTAACTTCTGATGATTTTCCCTTGCCTCTGCCTTGTTCTGCCCAGCCGGCCCACTCGATGCTCCTTCAGAGGCCTTCCTTCTGCCACGCTTGGCTTCTTCCAATCGCGTCAACCTCTCTTCTAACATCCCAACTTGCCTCTGTATACCGCTCAACTCTCCTTGTATTGATGTAACCCCAGCTGGTTGCTCAAGGCCTTCACCAAGCTGGTCTTCCGCTCCATCCTCTGGAAATCGCAACTTCAGAGAACTTTCCAGCTCATCCCAGGTCTGCGACTTTATCATAAGGGTATACACCTCCTCACTCAACTCTTTGCAGACAAACATTGGCAACATGCTCCACATCGCCTTCTCGTCCCACCTCTTCATGAGACTGAAGTCATGATAGCCGCATAGGAAGGCAGACTGATTTCTTCCCTGAAACAGCCGGGCACGAAGTTCAGGGGGCATCAAGTCACTCATTGACTCACACAATAACACTTTACTGAGGCACACGCTCCTCCAGAGTAGGATTTTGACAAGATCACTTTCTTCTCAGGTGAACTTCCGGACTAGATGCAGTGACAAGGCCCGTACGTTTTATTTGGTGGAAGATGGTACCTCTGTTAGTTCGCTGGTCGTACCGTCTTCACCCGAATAGAACACCCCGGTCATTATAGCTGCTCTTGGTGCAACTTTCTATCTAGATACCACAATAATTACCGGGCGACGGGCATTGTATTCGGGTGAAGATGGTAGCACTGCTTTTCCGTGCCACGACACCAAAGAGTGCTAGGAACACAAGTTCTTTGTGCACAAAGTGTTTCATGAACTTTTCTCAGTTGAGCACCACCTCTCAATGTTAGACAGCCTAGCAATTGCTTTCCTAGCACATTTCTACCTCCTTCACTCAATTACGACGCATGGTCATTATAACTGCATTTGGACTATCTTGCAGTCTAAATGCAGCAATAATGACCGCATGTTGTGTTTGGGTGAAGAAGGTAGTGCAGTGGGGTCCAATCCTAACAGCAACCTGATAATTTTTAGGTTAGTAAGGGAATCTGGGTTCCGTGACCAATATAACTTTTTCAGAGCTTTTCAAGAAAAAGGGCAAAGTCTGAGGGTGTTACGTACATGGGGAAAAACACATGAACAGGGCCGTGGTACTTCAGTTCTCAACTCGGCAGTCGTGGGCATCCTACGCCTGCCTTCATATGTCTTTTGTTTGAACAAACTGATGTAAATGATAGGCTGTGTATACCCAATAATGAGGAGATCAAGAGTATGATCTTGGGGGAATGCCATGATATGAAAGGCCATTTTGGGTGGAAGAAGACCTACGGAACTTTGTTGCGTTCCTACACCTGGCCTCGAATGAAGGCAGACTGTATCGCGTATGTGCAAGGTTGTCAAGTGTGCCAACGAAACAAGAGCACCACGCAATCGCCCCTTGGGCTACTTAAGCCCTTACCTATCCCTACCGGCCCTGGAGACTCTGTCTCTATAGATTTCATGGATACTAAAGTGAAAAGCAGAAATGGGAAGACGCAAGTAATGGTCATAGTGGATAGATTTACTAAGTATGTGTAAGTGACAGAGATACCAGGTTCACAAGTGAACAATGGCAGCAACTGATGAATGTATATGACTCTAAATTGACTATGTCATCAGGCAGACATCCTGAGACTAATGGCCAGACTGAGAAGATGAACAAAATACTACAGCAAACTTTACGCATGTACATCCGTCCCGACCAAGTTGACTGGGATGAACATCTGCCTAAGGTTGCTAGTGCCTATAATAACTCTGTGCACCTATCTACGTGTAAGACTCCTATGGAGTTACATCTGGGGTGGCGTCCACGCAGACCCATTGATCGGTTGAACCYRGATCAAGTCCATAAGCTTCCTGTAGGGACTAGTGAATTTGCAGTCCAATATCAGAAAGACATTGAGAAAGTAAAGGAAAATATACTCAAAGCACAGCATCAGATGATTGAACAGGCAAATAAACATAGACGACCATCTCAATTTGTTGTAGGAGATTTGGTTTGGGTGAAATCTAAGGAGTTTTGCTCCTGAAGAAAACATCTCTCAGAAACTTCTACCCACCTACCGAGGACCTTGGCAAGTTTTAGATGTAATTGGAGATGTGGATGGTCCTTCGTACGTCATTGAAATTCCTCTACATCTACGTACATATCCAGTGTTCCATGCATCCAAGCTCTTACCTTGTGTAACGAATGAGCTCTTCCCAAGTCGCCGATCAGCGATATCTCCAAGTATGGATGGGAAGTATGACGTGGATAAAATTGTTGCAGAAAGTACTTACCACACTGGACGTAGGGGCAGACCACAGCGACAGTATAAGGTGAGGTTTGCATTCCAGGATCCTAGTGAAGATCGCTGGTTCACACGAGAAGAGTTATTAGACTCTGCACCTCATATTGTGTCTGCATATGAAAGCGCAAGGAGGGGAACTCATATCCTTAATAGGTAAATGATTCTCAGAGGACTTCAAATTTAGGCCGGCGAGAGTAAAAGGGCCTTTACCTGATGTAGGCCTCAGGCCTTGTAAAAGTAAGCAACATGGGCTTGTTAAAGTATAGCAGTCTGAAAGGGTATCTCGCCAGGGCTCAGAAACGTGAAAGCAGGGCAAAGGTCAGGTTCTCTATCAACAGGCACATCTAAATCTAAAGCAAAGGGCATTGTCAAAGGACTTACCTGTTCACCAGAAGATGTGCATGTCATGTCTGTTCGAGTAAGGGTGTGTCTGTACGTGCAGGCAGTGTACCTGTTCATTCAAAGGAAAGTGTCTGTTCAGGCAGGTAAATGTGTCTGTTCGTCTAGAGTTGTGTCTGTCCAAAAGTAAAGTCAATAGGTACAGTCCCAGTTCTGGTCTGAGTCAAGGGGTCAGTCCAGATCCATACTTTCAAGTCCAAATCTAGGCCGAGAGGCCTCAGCAGTAGTTGAACCTCATTGGGACTGTACTGGGACACATGCAATGCAGGGTCTGGGACAAAGGAAAGGCTGAATTGAGCCAATGCAGACCCAGCGAGGAGTATAAAGGAAGCTGCCAGCCTCATTCCTCGCCAGATCTCCACTGGCCATTTCTGCGTGGAAGTGCTGGTGCACTTGTGCGCTGAGTCAGGAGGAGCAGCGCTGGAGGAAGGAGATGYGTTGAGTAAAGGAAGAAGCCTGTACGCTGGAAGAGATGCAGCCATAGCTGCCCAGCGAGTTAGCACTAGTAGTAGAGGGTTAGTATTTAGTTATGAGTAGTATTCAGAGTAGATCCTCATGAGAGAAGAGTGTGTATTCATCATAGGACGAAGGGACTGAGGCATAGASTGTTCATTCAAGGTTTGGCTATGGAAGATACTTACYTGAGTTGAATGTGAACTGCAGAGGTGGCGCTGAGGTGTAGTAACCACATTGATGACTTGGAGACAATCTGCAGATGTAGCGCTGATGCATTGGAAGTCATATTGATGAGTTGACAAGAGATTTGTGTTGCGCTGATGAGCGCTGGACTCAGGGGAACTTTGAAACACTTTGTAATCATATTTTTGATAATATAAGCTTGGAAACTCGGTTCTCTTCTCATCTACCTTTGTCTATTGTGTGAGACTACTGATCATTGCGCGCGAGTATGATGCATGACATGTACACACTTGCGTGAGATGATCCCCAGGACCCATGCATTTTGCACTTTAGGCGCAATAACCTTTTGACCTTCATCCATTCCTTCCTCTTCTATCCCCCGAACCTCCTGTATCTCCTAATGATGCAAAAGACCCGCAAGTAAGATCAATGCATACCATACGCTCGACTCCGGCACCTCGACCTTACTCATTGTGTTCTCATTGGCATTACATCCCTTTGTCTTTCCCATGCTCTCTCTCTCTCTCTCTCTCTCACACACACACACACACACACACACACACACACACACA